GGTCTGCCCAAGCTGCGCCCAAGAAGAAGAACGGCAAGGAGTCAGCTGACCTGAAGGAAAGCCGAATGAGTCTTGAAGACCGCCTGGCGTTCATCGAGGGCAAGAAAGCTGAGTTGGCTTCCATTTTTGAGAATCAAGTTTGGGAGATTGAGCTCCATCCTGAGAAGGTCGATTGGAACCGCGTGATGAAAGCACGGTTTGTGCTGAAGTGGTCTGCCGACAACAATGGCAACCCACGCGCAAAAGCACGTTTGGTTCTTCAAGGATTTTCTGATCCAGATCTACTACGAGGAGAGCTTGACACATCTTCCCCTACCTTGAGCCGATCCTCACGGCAGATTCTCCTGGCCATTGCAACTTGCAAATCCTGGCTTATTTTCATTTCTGATGTTGCGACAGCCTTTCTTCAAGGCGATCCACAGAAGCGAATTTTGCGGGCCAGAATTCCCAAAGACGCTTGCCAGCTGATTGGTGTGCCAGCCGGTACGCTGATGCGACTTCTCAAACCCATTTACGGGCAAGCCGATGCTCCAAGAAGATGGTTTCAAGTTGCCCGCAGAAGATTGATTGCTGCAGGGTACCAACCACATCCACTAGATCAATGCCTTTATTGCCTTTTTCATGGTGGTCAATTGGTTTCAATGATCGGCATTCATGTTGATGATCTCATCAGTGCTGGACTTGAATCCGATGAAGTCTACCAGAAGGCAAAACAGGCTCTTCATGAGAGTTTCAACTTCAAACATTGGACTGAAGGAAAAGACACTGGTCAACTGCAGTTTTGCGGTTGTGACCTTGAGGCTGATGGAAAAGGTGGCTGGTGGTTGCGCCAACAGGACTACGTCCAAAAGATCAAACCTTTGACCTTGAGCGATTCAGATGAGAATCGTGAATTGACTGTCAAAGAACTGACAATGCTCCGTGGACTTCTAGGAGCGCTTCAATGGCCAGCAACCCAGACTTCACCTCACCTCAGTGCAAGCGTGAGTCTTTTGTGTGGCGAAGTGAGCGCCGCAGCAGTTTCCACAGCTACCCAAGCAAACAAGCTGCTGAGATTTGCCAAAGCCAACAGCGACGTTGGACTCCAATTTTCTGACCTTGGCCAGCTACATGAGCTTTGCATGATAGCCTTGAGTGATGCAGCCTGGGGCGTTCGAAAGAACCATGAGTCCCAAGGCGGCTACTTTGTTTTGCTGATGAATGTGAAAGCCCTGCAAGGTCAATTGGACCAACCCTATGTTGTTTTGGATTGGCGAAGCTACAAACTCCCAAGAATCAGCCGCAGTAGCCTCAACTCTGAAGCACAAGCATGCGCTGGTGCAATGGATGCTCTTGAGTATCTCCTGATCTTCTGGCATGGATGTGTGACTCCTGGCTTTGAGTTGCGCCACTTGGACGCCCACGACATCCAAATGAAGTCAGCCTTGGTGGTCGACGCGAAGGCACTCTACGATAGCCTGAAAGCCGAAGTTCCACAGCTGCAAGGCGACCGAAGAACCAAGATTGAGGTCATGGTTGTGAAACAGAAAATGGATGAGATGAAAACGAAGCTGAAATGGATTTCATCAGAGACCCAACTGGCAGATGCTGTTACCAAAATTGCAGCACGGCAATTGCTTGCAGACCGCTTACGGTCCCATGTCTTCTCCCTGCACTCTGACCAGAGCTTCCAAGCAGCGAAGAAGAAGACCCTTGCTGAACGCCAAGCTTCAGCTAGACGCAATGCGATTGGTCGTTTGCAGAAAGGCATTGGTTTTGCAGTGCTGACAAATCAACTTGAGCCAGTTCGAGGTGATGATTTTGCAGAAGATTCTTTTTCATCCTACAACATCATTTTCATCTTCACATTCCTCACCATGTTTGTGGCGACAGTTTTTCTGGCATGGCAGTGTTTAGAAAGAATGACAAGGTCCCTGCCGAGACCTATGGCTGTACCTAGGTTTCAAACCTCAAGAATGCTCTGGTCACTGATGAGACCTTTTGCGTTCCTATGGAATCAACAAGCTGCGCTGGAAGATGTATCAACCCAAACCGAAAGTGGACGTGATCAAACTATTCACCTTTTGAACTGCAGAGTTCAGATGCTGCAACAGCAGGTGAACGACAAAGACGAAAGAATCCAAGATCTTGAAAGTTTGGTTCACTACTACGAGCAAGATGTGACATCAACCTCTTTGTTTGTGAGCCGAACTGGAGCACGATACCAATTGCATCGTGATTGCCGAGCGCTTTTACAAGCGAATCAAGCCGGCATACGAGATTTGAAATGCTGCAGCCAATGCATTCAGACGTTGCGTGACAACAGCAACCTGGGTGGACCGTGGTGAACTTTTCTTTCTTCTCCACCGGTGTGAGTTTGGTGCCACCAAACTGATCCATTCACCACTTTGCCAGGTTGGAACCACCACATGCAGCTGCAGAACCACATTGGGCGTTCTCGACGCGGCCTCTTTGGCTTTTACGTGTCTTGCCTCTGGACAACGATTCCAGAGGGCCCTCTTTTGAGCCTAGCATTCGAAGCTACGCATGACAAAACAGATAGCACTCCTGCTTTGCATTTCGTGTTTGCACTTGGAGCGGCATAACACAACAAGATATCTTTCCATATCTTCGCAGTAACTAGCTCGAAACTGCTAACCCGAGCTCGATTCCACACGAAACTAGCTCCAACCTGCTTGCGCAAGCTCCCAAAACGGACCCTCCGCCATTCTGAAACACCATGGCAGTGAAGCATGAAACTAGCTCCAAACTGCTTACCCAAGCTCCCAAAACTTGCCCCTTGCTGCTTGTTATAGCTGCTTGTAATAAGTTCTTGCCCCTTGCTGCTGGTAATTTCTCCTCTGATGCGCTTTCCCTGCGTGGTCGGCGGATTACCTGCGCTCGAAGTATCTCGAAACCCAAGGTTTGCCAACCAGCGAGGTTCGGCAAAGCTGCGGGGGCGTTTTTCAGCGTATCTCTTGGAATGTGCGCCACAGGCTTCGGACAGTGACATGAACGTTTCAATTTTGTTCCGGAGAATCGTGCCATGTCAACTTTTTTATCATTTTATAATAGTTTATAATTTTTCAAACGTAGTATGAGTCAGTATGAGTATGAGTGTAAAGTGTGAAACATGATGCAGTTTTTTTCTCCAAACGAGTTTCTGTTTTTGTCGTTGATTTGGTGCAGCTTTGCCTCAGGCCAGCTTTCTATGCGGCGTACCTCTGCTGAAAATTCCAGGACGCACTTTCCACAGACCTTGCGCTTTCTGTGCGGGTGAAATATCTAAGGTTTATCTCAACCTGTGCGGCAGCTTGGGTATTGACAATTTTCACGCCGACGTTTGCGGTGGATCTCACCGGCGACTCTTGGCCAACAATGGCCACAGGATGCCACAGGTAGCTGGAGCATCAGAGATCATCAGAGCATGCTCGAGCCATAACTAGGTCATGGCAATTGCAACGTGGCCGGAATGAAGTCATGTCATCTCGGACTGGATCTGGATCCCAGGTTTGGACACAGTTTATCAACGGGTTGCTGATGCCACCAACGATCTTCTCCCTGTGGTAGCCTGCCCTGGACGGACCTTTTCAAATTGTTTGAGTTGGCAGTGAATTTGTTGATGTTTGCAGTTTGCATAATTTTGAATACAGATACAGGAGATGATCGAAGAAATCTAAAAATGATGTATGTGATTGTATATGTATACTGTATAAATAATTATATAATATATGAATGATTCAAGTTGCTTTCGTTCTCTCCCCCGCCTGTTTCCACAAGCCTCGAGCAGAAACGAAAATTTGGTCAGGTACTTGGCCGCTTACACTTTGCCTGCAGAGTACCGTTTAGGCCCATGCTTGAAGTCGTTGCCTTGGCTTATGCTTTACTAGCTGCCGACGGATTCCACGGAGCTGTATACTTTCCCTTTGGACGGAATTTCACCGAATTTCACTGAGGTGGTCGCTGTTTCTGGTCTTTGGGATTTGCTCCGCTTTTTGCTTCATTTCCATTCCATTTGCCATTGAGGAGTGGATTCTGACAGCTCAGCTTGAGTCTCATGTGGGTAGAGAATCTACTGTAAGATTTCTCTGCTTGTTATGAGCTGTGAATCATACCCCCCGTTTGTTGTTGATGTGATGACCTCTATGAAACTTGATGAAATTAGATTGCTCCGGTCATTCTTTCTCAAGACACTGAGTTGATGGTATGAATTTAATGTCAGCCAGATGGAACGTTTGTCAACTCTATTGTCATATGCCAACTTGGAGGACAGTTTGAAGAAGAAGCTCTGAGGCACTCTGAGGCTGCTAGAGCCCAGACCTCTACCTGAGCAACGCTGAGCAACGCAGTAATGTTCTGGTTTGTACACTTTGACTGACCGTCCTATCACAACTAAAAGTACGCCAAACAGTAGATACAAAAGTATGTTGTATCAGTTGTATCCGTGCAATCGCATTCTGGTCAGTCTTTTTGCAGCTGCCCCGGACACTAGTCACTAGTTCTATCAGAACGTCAGACAGTCGCGAATAGCTTGAATTGTAAGCTGACGTTTGCATCCTCATCATTTTTCCAAGGTGGATTGAGCCAAAAACATTCTGTAATGAATGGTTGGATTGAAGACGAGGGGGCAAGGAACTTGTTGTCTTGGTTTTAAAGCAGCAACTTGAGAGGTGGATTTGCCAAAAGGCAATGAGCGTGGGGCTCTGCAGAAAAGGAAGTGTGTATCTTTGTGTATTTTCATCTCGTGGAGATTGGAGGCACCAGCAGTATCTCACCTTTCCAATTCGTAGGCTTTTGTCCGGAGAGGCTTGACGGTTGACATCTGATAGAGATTTTTTGAGACTGGAACTGGAACACATTGGAACTTCACTGTAATCCCTGAAATCTCCAGTGGCTGAGGCAGCGGCTTGCATGTGACAGACATGTGACAGACACGGCTTGCTTGTACTTCTTTTCTTAAACAATGTCCGATGGCATGCGCTCACCTTTCGATTTTTCTCCGCCATGCGCTGCCCTCGCAGATTTTGGACTTCCAGATCGACGATATTGTCCGCCCGGCCAACCTCCTTGGCACTGAAGGGCGCCTGAGAAGAACCAAAGCTGCGGTCCAGGCCGAGAACTTTCGACGAAAGCAAGTTGAAGCATCGACGAAACGAGAACCTCGAGAAATGGTGAGAAATAAAATAAACATAAATAAACCATGAAAAATATTGGACAATCAAAGTGAATTGAAAAAGCGTCTCTGCCATTGAAGGCTTTCTCAAATCAAGTCACGAAAGCAGCCCAAACAGTCCAGGGAAGAAGGATTTTGAAGATTGAGTGATTGGAAGCAATTGCTCTTTTGCACATCACCAGGCAGACATTGATGGAGATGGTCTTCTTTCTGTGGATACTTGCCATGCATTTGATTTGAGCTTCGTGCCTTGAGAGCTTTTGTCGGTCTGTGAACTATTTGTGAACTATTTGTGACCTATTTGTATTTGTGAACTCATGTAATTTCATTGTTTGTTGTCCATTGTTGTCCATTGTTGTCTTGTTTCGATGCCAGGATGCATTGGCGAATGTCTTCGGCGCACAGCGTGGAGCTGAGACCGAGCGACCTGGTAACGTCGCCGACAGCTATGCTCAGCTATTCTCTGCAGGCTGGAGGCAGACGATGCCAAGCAGTTGGCCAAGGACCCACGTTTTTATTGGGGGTAACCGGGTCCACAAAGAGAGCAGAGTGTGCTTACGTTCAACCAAGAACGGCGCGTTCCTTTTGGGGCATGTTACGCCCAAAAGGAACACGCCGCTTTTAGGTCATCTTGGAACCGTATTGCGCCTAGACGGGACGTATGTATGGACAGAGAGATACGCTTGGAGACATCAATAAGTTTATGGATCGATGGAGATTAGAAAAATAGATTAAGTTTACAGCTGGAGAGTAGAAAAATATAGATCGAATAGATAGACGGATAGAGTAGAAATGAGCGGACCGAGAGATAAGCCACTTAGATCAATCGATCGATGGATGGCGAGATAGATTGGTAGGTACAGAGAGAGAGATAGATAGATAGATAGATAGATAGATAGACCGATAGATAGATAGATAGATAGATAGCTAGATAGAAAGATCGATAGATAGATCGACAGACAGGCAGACAGGCAGGCAGGCAGGCAGGCAGACAGGCAGACAGACAGACACAGACAGACAGACACAGACAGACAGACAGACAGACACAGACAGACAGACACAGACAGACAGACAGACAGACAGACAGACAGAGACAGACAGCCAGGCAGCCAGGCAGCCAGGCAGCCAGGCAGCCAGGCAGCCAGGCATACAGAAGGCAGCCAGGCAGCCAGGCATACAGATGGCAGCCAGGCAGCCAGACAGACAGACAGACAGAGAGACAGAGAGACAGAGAGACAGAAAGACAGAGAGACAGAGAGACAGAGAGACAGAGAGACAGAGAGACAGAGAGACAGAGAGACAGAGAGACAGAGAGACAGAGAGACAGAGAGACAGAGAGACAGAGAGACAGAGAGACAGGGAGACAGACAGATAGACAGACAGACAGACAGACAGACAGACAGACAGACAGACAGACAGACAGACAGACAGACAGACAGACAGACAGACAGACAGACAGACAGACAGACAGACAGACAGACAGACAGACAGACAGACAGACAGACAGACAGTAGGTAGATAGATAGGTGGATAGGTGGATAGGTGGATAGGTGGATAGGTGGATAGATGGATAGATGGATAGATGGATAGATGGATAGATGGATAGATGGATAGGTAGATAGGTAGATAGATAGATAGATTAGATTAGATTAGATTAGATTAGATTAGATTGGATTAGATTAGATTAGATAGATAGATAGATAGGTAGATAGATAGATAGATAGAGATAGATAGATAGATAGATAGATAGATAGATAGAGAGATAGATAGATAGAGCCTGCAAGCTGTGTGGAGCTTCATAGGTAGATACCGTGCTAGATAGATAGACAGACAGACAGACAGACAGATAGATAGATAGATAGATAGATAGTTTAGTTGATGGATGCATGAAGAGATCGGGAGACAGATTGCTGAATAGGGCTAGAAGCACCACATGATAGCATGAATTGTTGGCAGTGAGCTTCGCATAGCTACGTAGATGCAGAGATGGGGGCGGCATAGAGAAAGAGAGAGAGAGAGAGAAAGTTAGGTTGATGCATGGATGGCTTGACGGAAGGCTGGACAGATAGGTTGCTAGATAGATAGCTAGATGGCTACAGGTCATGGAAGCTTTGTCGGCAGCAGGCTGCAATGACAACCTGACATAGAGCTATGCCTGTGCTGAAAGTAGATCGTCACGTCATCTCTCTTTGTCTACAAGTGGATGACAGCTAGCGCGCTTGATGTGAGATGGAGACATGGACCAGTGGATAGAGTGCGAGATAGATTGATCGGATGGTAGACGGATGCATTGCTATGTGTAGACTGAGAACTGACTTACTGGTTGGACGCATAATGACAGTAGCCAGCAGCGCTAGCACACCTTGTTGCGTTGTGACTACCCCCGTTGCCATACTGCACGTGGCCGTACACCTGAAAGGCTCGGTGCCACCCTGCGTATATGGAGCCTATGTTGGGCCTATGTTGATCCATGTTAGGCTCTTGGAGGCTATGTTGGGCCCATATTCGAACCATGTTGAGCTTATGTTAAGCCAAGAGCGGCGTGTTCCTTTTAAGGCTTTACCCGGCCCAAAAGGAACACGTCGTTTTTGGATCATGTCGGGACCATGTTGGGCGTATGTGGAGCCTGTATACGGGGCCTGTGTTGGGCCTATGTTGATCCATGTTAGGCTCTTGGAGGCTATGTTGGGCCCATATTCAAGCCATGTTGAGCTTGTGTTAAGCCAAAAACAGCGTGTTCCTTTTAAGCCTTTACCCGGCCCAAAAGGAACACGTCATTTTTGGATCATGTCGGGACCATTGTTGGGCGTATGCGGAGCCTATGTTGGGCCTACGTTGATCCATGTTAGGCTCTTGGAGGCTATGTTGGGCCCATATTCGAGCCATGTTGAGCTTATGTTAAGCCAGGAGCGGCGTGTTCCATTTAAGGTTTTACCCGGCCCAAAAGGAACACACCGTTTTTGGAGCATGTCGGGATCATGTTGGGCGTATACGGGGCCTATGTTGGGCCTATGTTGATCCATGTTAGGCTCTTGGAGGCTATGTTGGGCCCATATTCGAGCCATGTTGAGCTTATGTTAAGCCAAGAACGGCGTGTTCCTTTTAAGCCTTTACCCGGCCCAAAAGGAGCACGTCATTTTTGGATCATGTCGGGACCATGTTGGGCGCTTGTATACGGGGCCTATGTTGGGCCTATGTTGATCCATGTTAGGCTCTTGGAGGCTATGTCGGGCCCATATTCAAGCCATGTTGAGCTTATGTTAAGCCAAGAATGGCGTATTCCTTTTAAGCCTTTACCCGGCCCAAAAGGAACACGTCATTTTTGGATCATGTCGGGACCATTGTTGGGCGTATGTGGAGCCTATGTTGTGCCTACGTCCATGTTAGGCTTTTGGAGGCTATGCTGGGCCCATATTCGAGCCATGTTGAATTTGTGTGAAGCCAAGAACGGCATGTTCCTTTTAAGCCTTTACCCGGCCCAAAAGGAACACGTCATTTTTGGATCATGTCGGGACCATTGTTGGGCGTATATGGAGCTTATGTTGGGCCTATGTTGATCCATGTTAGGCTCTTGGAGGCTATGTTGGGCCCATATTCGAGCCATGTTGAGCTTATGTTACAGTAAACCAAGAACGGCGACGCGCTAGAAATTTGTTCGGTAGGGTATCGATTCCCCTCGGTCTGGGTTTTCCTGGGTGAGCTAAGTAGCCAGTCAGAAAAATCGATAGAGCGAGACATGTTGCTTAAAAGACTAGAGAGATGTAGTTGACCAACAGAGTTTTAGGAAGGCGACCACGGGAGAACTCCAATTTTGAAGGTGTTACGCGCAGTCGTGATGCTTGCAGGGTTGCTGCAACTGGAGAACTTCAATTTTGAAGGCGTTCTGCGCAGGAAGTTTAATGCTCTCAGTCGTGGTGCTTACGGGTTTGCTCCAACAGAGGAACTCCTGTTTTGAAGGTGTTGTGCGCAGGAAATTTGCTGAAGTAGGCTATCGATTCCCGTCAGTCCGGCTTCTCGCCAGTTAAACAAACAGATGGAAAAAATATATTGCTCGAGGGGCTGAGGACACGTAAGCAACCAGCAGAGTTTCAGGATGTCTGCCCCAAAACTCTCTGTGCAGTTAGGGCTACGCTACAACTGGAGGATTTCAATGTTGCAGGTCTTACATGCAGGCAATTTGCTGTGCGCAGGGGTTTTCATATGTTTTCATTATGAGACCTGGCTTTCGTTGCCCCCTTCTCAGGCGTCCAACATTTTGCTAAACATTTGCCAGTTTTTGTGAACGGGTTTGAGGTGTAGGAAACGGATGGAAATGGTAGAGGGTTCAGCATTGATTCTTTCAGATGTCTCGCGTCAAGTTCAGCCACGCTTTCGCTATTGGGATTGCAGGATCTGGACGTCAATGGGATAGGAAAGGTCACCGTCGATCAAGTTCTTGGCTGGACGCACCACCGCCACGTGTTCGACGGCACCTTCTGTTGGACCTTTGAGTCAAATCGAGTCCGCAAAATCTGCAAGATCTGCAAGACCTGCAAGCAGCTCAGTGTTGTTCATCTCAGCAAACATCCTGCCAGGCCGCAGTGTGTCAACAACGTAGAGTTTTTGGACCGGTTCAGGAGAAATGCTTGGATTCTTGAAACGTGACCGTCGTGACCCCATGTTGAATCGTGGATTCAGGTCCTTACACACATGCTTTGCCTCGTTCTTGCCCTACAAAATTTACGCAATCAAATGTTCTCAATGCAAACTCTGAAGAGCTTGGATCTCTTTATCTCTCTCCCAGGATGCTTGAGTCTCTGAAACTGCCGGTGCTGGTGTCTGGTGTTGGGTCTACGGCTTGGCACACTGATGTTTTTTACATTTTTTTGCAATGCCATTGTTACATAGTGCAAAGATCGCTCTTGAAACATCGCTGGTTCAACACTGACCAACGGTGCACTTTCTGCAATACTGCACTAAGACACTAAGAATCATTGTGCTATCAATGATGAGGTCAGATTCCGAACTGTCATCGTACTTGGCCAGATATACCACGCAGCCCATTGTGCTCGCTGCGGGGGCCTTAAAGCTGTAGGGCTGTAGCTGTGTTGTGCAACTTCTGTTGGGGCAGCAACCTCTGGCAGTGTGCGCGGGGTTGATGGCTTCAGGTCGGAGGCGGCAACTATGACATTGCGCGGGGTATCTTCAACGAGAACCTCTACCGCGAGTACAACGGAGGAATGCTGGAGGCAGACCTTTGCTGAAGCATGTTCAAGCTGGCACACACACACACACACCATGGACCATGCCGACCATGCCTATTGCATCCTATTGCATTGTGTTGGTGTTTGTCACATTTTGTCACTACAATTGCGACTCCTTCAACTCCAACTTGAATCAAAGTGCTAGGCCTTCGGCAAGTTGTTTGCGGGCAACGTTCGCATCTTCCAGTACCCCAACATTGGCCTGGAGCTCAGGTGGCCATCAGGTGGCCATCAGGTGGCCATGGCTGGCCTTTTGTATTCTTTGATCCTTTTTGATTCTGCATTTTCCAATGATTGGGATCCGAATGAAATCAAATGGCATTGTCTTTTATACCTGACCCGCATATGACTTTGAAGGATCTGAAACATACTGAGGTTCATACCTCCAGGCTCCTTCAGGAAGTAGGAAAACCATGGAAAACTCTGGGAACCTTTGAGAATCTGAATTTCTGCATTGGGAATTCTGGGGATACTGGGAATGGCTGGAGTCCGGAGTCATTTGGAGTCCAAGGTGCAGATGGTGCTGTGTCCAGCGAGGTGGAAATTTCTGGTTCCAAAGCTGACCTGCATCGCTACCTCGTCGGCGAGAAGAAGATCGTCCGAAGCCCCAAGCACTCGAGTCGCTCCAGTCACTCGAGTCACTAGAGATGATTTGAGACGGATTTGAGACAATAGAGGACGATAGTAGACGATAGTAAAAACAGTTTTTCACTGCTTTTCTAATCTTTTCTATGGAGAGACCACTCTGGCATGCTAGAGGATTTGCCCAGCATTGACACGCATCCCTGGTCAGCTGAGGCAGCGATAGAACCTGGCTTCGTGGACTCATTTGCACTGTCTCAAGATAGCAACGAATCATTCCGAGGGCAGTCCGAGGACAGAAAGTTGTTGAAAGGAAGACCTATGGAGACCTTGTGCTTTTTGAATCTCAGTTCTTGAGTCAAATTCAGTTTCAGAAGATTTCAGAAGTTGCTGAAATGCTGGATTTTGTTTGCATCGGCAGGCAGGAAGAATTCTGCAACTAAGACGAACTAAGTTCCTTCATGCATCGTCCCATGCGAACACACAACACACATCATACAAAACCCTCACAGATCATAGATCAGTGATTTCAGAGATGAAGCATGATGAAGCATGATGAAGCATGATGAAGCATGTGCACCTGTGCGCGGAGGATGTTGTGAGTCTGATGAAGGAAGGGAGCAGCGAGTGGGAAAAATATGTGCCCGATGAGGTGGGGGTGCGGCAGGGTGCGGCAGAGGTGTCAAAATGTGTCAAAAGCGTGTGGCAAAAGTCCCCAAGGAGCAGGATAGAGCAGGATGCTCAATGATGCTTTGAACATGTTGGCTAGTGTTGGCTAGTGTTGGCTTCAGTGGCTTCAATCTGAGTCTGTAAATGCCAATGCCTGACAAAGCTGATTTATGGACCCTGTCAGGCCGCGGGGATAATCAAGAAGTCGAGCTGGTTCCAGAGGCAAAAACCGCAATACACCTGTCAATTCCTGTCAAATCCTGTCAATCTCAAGCAATAACCCTTTCAGATTTTGATGGTCAAAGTCAGGCTGAAAATTTTGTCGTGGAAAGCGTGGCTCGGCGATTCATCGCAACATATGGTAACTATTTGCGAGGTATGCAGATGGAGGAGCCAGCTCTCAGGAGGCTCGTAGGGCCGTAGGGTTGCCAGGGCTTGTCCTGGTACTGAGCTTATTTTGCTGATGCAATATCGTACAATCACACAGTGCATACACAATCATACACATGCAGCACATGCACATAATGGACATATCACCTGGTTGCACGTGAACCGCATATGGAAGCTGAATCTGCTCATACCTACGACATGCGATGCACAAGACGCTCACTTTTGTTTTGCGTCCTGTGACTCCATAGAGTCCATAGTCGGTCCATAGAGCGTATAGAGCGCTAAGGTCGACGGCTTTGATCCGATTTGAGTCATTGAGTCATTCTGTGTCGTCACGTTCGCGATATGCGCCCAAACCCGGCCAGTGATTTGGACCGTTAAGGACTACGAGTTCACACTGCCCCATGCTCCCCTCTAATTTAGACCATGATGTAAATCAAAATTTGAACCATTTGAATATTTTGAATGCACTGCATGACACGTATTTCTTGTCCCATACCTCATGATAATACACCAACCTCCATAGTACGTACTCTTTTTGTATAGTTCAGTGTCATGTTAAGAGAAAATAAACGAAAGGGTGAACGGATGGACCTTGCAGCTCATTAGCTGCACCCAGGACGTAGTGCCATCGCTTCCTGTGCTGGTAAAACTTGCATGAAAAAGTCAAGGGCTTGAATGGAACATTTTGATACATTCATGTTACAGTAGTACATTTTTTTCCTATCCTTTTTTTTTGTGTGTTTTTTGTTGTCGCGTGGGCATCACGTGGGCATCACGTGGGCATCACGTGGGCATCACATCGGGCTCAGAGTTGAAGCTGGATAAGCTGGGCAGGTGATCTACAAGGTCTTTGAAGTGCTGGACAAAGTTGGCGAATGAGCGAGATCTGAGGAGATCTGAGGAGATCTGAGGAGATCTGAGGAGATCTGAGGAGCACGAAGTAGAACGAAGTGGAACGAAGTGTACGCGGAGTAGCGCCTTTCCTGGGAGAACCTTTAGCTCAAAGGAAAGGCCCGTGATATTTGATGTAATTGTGTATTTGAAGCTTGCAAATTGCGCTTCTGCTATTTTAAATGCAGATTCAGATTCTTTTCTGTTGTAGAATAAACCGTCAAAGTCAGGATGCATGCCAATGTTCATGTTTACCTCAGGGAGGAGGAGTTCGTGGTTTTCATGCCAATCATATGTAATGATCAAATCGCCGAACTTGCTTTTTTCTTATCAAACTAGCACTCCTGTGATTCTTTTGGCATTACAGACTTTGGCAAATCGATTTTCTTCATAGACTTCACCCATTGTGTGAAGCCAAACCGTGTTCATCAGCCAGAGCAAGAAAAGTCACAAGTTGTCATCTCAGAAAATCAACAGCAAGATTCGCAGCGCCCAGCATGGCTCACATTTTCCACAGAGTGTGGCATGTGAATTCTTGGCATTTCTTGGCCATGCAGGCTCCCATGGTCCGCCTTGTGGAAAGCATTGAGCTTGGACCAGAGGTGATCCCGTTCGAGAGCATGGCAAGACGTCACATTCGTAAGACACTCGTATTGATTCGTAAGAATTCGTAATTTTTTGTTGGGAAAGGAACCAGTCCGTGACTGGAAGCAACCCAGACACCTTGGCACACCTTGGCAGGCTCTTGTGCGGCTGAGCATTCCTGACGGCCAGGCAAAGGGCTCTGTTGGTTTATGCTGAATTGGTCAATTTCTGGAAATCAATCCTTAAATCAATCCTCAAAGGATTTTGTTGTTCAACTGAACTTCAACTCTAAGAATGCTCAGCTTAGCAATGTCTGCAATGACAGAGGCCCCAGGATCGCTGCCGGAGGGCTGTTATGTGGAGTTCTCCGATGTTCAGGGCTGTGATCCTCGGCCGGAATTCAAGAATCCAGGCGCTGTGCGGGACTTTAAAGTGCTACCTACATCGAAGAAGCAGCTGTGTTTCTACATTTCGCTGTGTGCAACTAAGGATGGCATAGATTCACACCAGGAGCAGAAATGGTGGACAGAAGTGCGAGACAGCTCTAGAGTCAAGTCCTGCGTCCCTTGCAATAGCCGAAGTCAGTGCGTAGTCGTGAAGAAAGCTGAACAAAACATGGCTGGGACATCTTGATGATCAAAAGGGACAAATTAAATACACATTATGTATAATATATATTATATACATGTATATGCTGTATATAATATTCAAAGCACACATATGACTCATATGACATCATATGACACATATGGCATCTTTTTCAATGAGAACCATATGCCGTGCAGACGGGTCACCACGGGTTCTGAAGTCTCTGAAGTGCGGAGATCGGAGGAGGTGTCGCCCTGCGGTGAGAAGGTCACCGCGTGGAAGATCAGCTCCAAGAGTGACGATCCCGTCACAGCCCACGAACAAACGAAACGGATGAAATTTTTGGTTTAGTAATGATTAGTATTAGATTTAGATCAATATTGATTAGTATTGATGTAATATGATGTAATTGATTGTTTAGTGATGTTCAGTATTGCGTAGTGTTTAGTAGCATGTTTAATCTGTCAGGTCAAGTCGTCTTTCGTGTATTTCTTGTGCAGCTGTCTCGACTTCTGATGCTTTGCCGAACTCTTGTGGATTCTGTCAGAAGCCGAGGTGAATTCCATTCGGATTGGTAATACTTCAGGCTTCCCTGCCTATGTTTCTGGCGGAATGGTTACTGAGAAAAAGGCCTGGGGTTCAGTGCTTGTAGTAGAGTCAGTAGAGAAAGGAACGCTGAGATGATTCTTTTCACAGTTGCTATTTGCAGGTGGGTGTGCCCTACCCTTTCAAGTCTCTGGCCGAAACCCTCAAGGACAGCATCGGATGCCGATACCAAGACATAGACGGCTGTAACACTTTGTCGTGGCTATGAGATGCCAAGAACACATGCAGCATCACACATTCTTCATGCAGCTATGTCAGCTATGTCAGCTATGTCAGCTATATGTGATCTGCATTCTGCTCAGTGTGCTGCCAGCTGCACCCTTTTCTGCCGGAGAGGTCTCGCCGTCACCACTAAACTCGATGCATTTTGCACTTTATGGCTCAAGCGCTTGACCAAAAATGCAAAGTTCATTTGATCCTGGTGAGCGTGGAATTTTGTTTTGTTAAACTTGAATGAAAGTCCGTTTCAGTGTTGTGTCCTTTGCCCCTCCTGGTGTCTCACTGGCAGTGATTGGGAGCACAGAATCCTTGGGGAAGTGGAACCCGAACAATGCAGTGCCTTTGACAGCGCGTCTGGCAGATACGAGGCTCCGCTCTGAGCCAGACTTTCACTCTGCCGACATTGAGATTCAAAGCAACGAGCCAATCGAGTACAAGTTCGTAGAGCGCGGCTCTGGAGTAAAATGGGAGGACCTAGGTGGGCAAAAGAATCGCATTGTGAAGTTGGATAAGTTGGATGAGGATGCACATCGCATTACTTATCGAAAGAATGAAGCAAATGAAGTAATTTTGCTGTTACCGGTGGAACGGTTCGCTGAACCTGGTGGCTCTGAAGGTGATCATACAGCTCGTTTTTACCAAGGGGTCAAGGAGAGAGGAGAAATTTCTGTGCGAAAGATCCTGAGAAATTTGTTCGTGGGTTCTTGCCCTCGGCAACGTTCTCACATTGATTACTTGCACTCACTGGGCATCACTACAGTCTTCAACTTTCAAACGGAAGAGGACTGCAAGAGGAACTGTGTTGCTGGTATTGGCATGGAAGAAGATCCCTTGGCCGTGAGCAAAATCTATGAGTCGAAAGGAATGCAATATATTTGGATGCCAACTTTCGATATGTCCACAGATGGCCGGGCGCAGATGTTACCCCAAGCGTCTTTCCTCATAGCGGAGGTGCTGCGCCGTGGTCACGTGGTCTACAGCCACTGCAACGCTGGGGTGGGACGATCCGTCGCGGCAGCGTGTGGCTACCTGACGTTCTGCCTAGGTCTGTCGTATCGCCAGATGCAGCACGTTGTGGCAATGCACCGCCCCGTGGCCTTCTTTGATTTCGAGGCCATGGAACGTGCCCGGCCACACTACACAGCGTTGTTTGGGAAGATGGCCATGGAGAAGTCTGGAGAGAAGTCTGGAGGATATCCTAAGGATGATCAGGATGGAGGTCCTGATGGTGACGATGCCAAGTCCAGGGAGGAAGCCCTGGAAACCTTGGCTCTTTGATGTGCCATATCGATTCTTCACACTGAGAAACTGCAGTGTCAGACATTAAGGATTCATAAGCAACTGGGGAGCGATCCTGGAAAAAGGCTCAGACTCCTGCAGAACTCTTCCAGTCTTGCCATGTCTTGCCAGGTTCCAATTTTTGAACACAGGATTTCACAGCCATTTTTCTGTCATCATCGATTGAATCTTGTGGAGCCGAGTGGAGCCGAGTGGAGCGAGCCTTGAGCCTTGAGCTTTGAGGACCCTGGGATGCCATTTGACAGCATGGCTTGGGAGCTCAGTCGCCTCGCTGCGATCGCGATCTGCTTTGAGCTTCGACATCTTCGACCCAGGTTGGAACTGACATGATCAACTTTGGCCCGGGGCTCTGCGTTCCAACATTATGTAATATTATGTAAGCATCAGTTAAGAATAGTTCATCAGATATGATACGATCAGATCATAAACCTAGAAGCATCCGATATCATCCGATATCGCCATCACTTTTCTTAGCTGTGAAATGTGAAAATATGTCAAAACATGTGAAAATTGTCGAAGTTGAGGATCAGAGCTGCAAAGTCATGTTTTGCTCTATGCTGCCCTTAGCTTGGAAGTTTGAACCTTGGGCAACGACAGACGAGAGATGACAATTTCCGATATCCATCGATATCCGACAGTGCAAGATCAACATGGATGGCACAGCTTGGATGAAAGGGATGCATTTACTGTAGAATCCTACAAAATTTGTAGCTGCACATGATTGTGGTGTTGCATTGTTGCATTGTTGCATTGTTGCATTGTTGTGTTGGTGTTGGTGTTGGTGTTGGTGTTGTTGTTGTTGTTGTTGCTGCTGCTGCTGCATGGTGTTTTGGCAACATCTCGGCTCAGCACGAGGCTTTGGCGAGTGCTTAGAACAGCCTTGTATTCGACACTTTCCAACTTCCAGCGTCTCAGGATCTTTGGGAGGCTTCCTCATTCCTATGCTAGGACACACTTCTTAGCAATCCCTAATAGGGCGTAACAGGTTGGGTTTTGGTTTTATCACAAGGTAGGGAAGCAACACAGTGGCATAGCACACCACACAGACAGCACTGAACAACACAGAACATCTCACTTCGCATTGAGTCCGGCTACAAATTTTGTCTCGGCTGCAAAGCCTGAATTTGGTTGCGAACCTCGGTCTGCCTGGCACACTTGGGTGTTGAATGATGGTATGATGGGTGGATGTTGAGTGAGCATGACAGCTATTTTTGCAGTTGTAGTGTTCAAAATTTCCAGTAGCAGGTAGTGGCAATTCACAGAATGGCTGCTCCAGAGCCTATGGCCCAGCTGTGAATCGACGGATGCAAAAGAGCACAAGGACTTTTCTCAAATCACGCTCTGCTGCTGAACCTTTCGTTCCTTTGGACATTTCTCGAGATCTAGAGGGTAGCAGGTTTCATTTGCTGAATATTTCTGAACCAGCTTCATTCAATTTCATTCAGGTTGTTGCCGTTCTATGTGAGGGAGAAGGAGTTCTTGAAGCTTTATGGTCCCTTGGAGTGGCCACTGAACTGCTTCACTGAGTTTTTTTTTGTGGCAGTAGCACAGTAGCATGCAGTGGTCAGCTATTTTCAAACCCACATCATGATCCTTCATAGCCGCAGCCGGGTACCATCCCTGATCTTCAATTCATGCCGACTGATTTCACCAATCGCTTTTTGCTGCCAGGTTTTGCGAATTCACAGATCGAGGAGGTTCAGGCATCGGTGGGGCACATTCATCTCAATTGCCTGAGAGAGTCGCTCAAGTGCTCTGCACCCAAGAGACAGACCGGAGTGATCTTGAGCATTGCGAATGGTGTCAGCTTGGTGGAGTCTGATCTGACAGCGATACGATGTACGCAATGGACGCAAGTTGCTGCAAGGCCCCTCCATTTCCACTTACTCTACCCAAAGCATCCTGCTGGAGCCCAGATGGCATTGCTTTAGCCATGGCCTTCCTCTCATGTTTCAATATGTTTCAATATGTTTCAATGCCTGGCTTGGTGCCTAAGCTAGCATCATGTGGCACGAGATGGCTTCATGTCGCTTCATAGCATGAGATGGCAGGTGGACCCTGTGCAGGGACCGCAGGTGGCAGTTTTCAAGGACAAGTCTATGCTCCTTGGACTCCTTGGCAAATCAGGACAACATTTGACAACATTTGAGACTTGCACTGGTTGATGTCCTGATTTGCACGATGTTGCACCACTAAAAAGCGTGGCAACTCTTGCAGAGGTCTTGAGCTTGTTTCTCTCAAGGTCCGGTGCAACGATCATGGAACTGCCTGGAGCTCCAAAAAATACCTACGCATTCATGTGGCTTGGGGCTCAGGCTATCAGATGGCTATCACTAGCCAAGTATAGATCATTCAACGCGAAGCCTTTTGATGTTTCGATGTTGGAATTTTCGGGAGCTGGAGAATGATGAGAATGGAGAACAAGATCCAGTGGTATTCCAGAGATCTCGAGATCTCAGTTCGACTGACTTGATGCTTTTCCGATCTTTTCCGTCCTGGCCACACATCTGAGGTCGCCATTGGGCTCAGCCTTGGTGTCAATAGCACCTGGTGGCAAGAACCTGACGGAGCCCGCAGACGAAGAAATCTGCAGAAGATTTTGCACAAGACTTCTGTGTAAAATTCACTAACAGAACCTTCAACAAAATGAAGACGGATCTTAATGATCTTCTTCAAATTGTTTCCATCGGAAGATCTTCTTTGACGTGTTCGTATGTGTTCTGCCAGTGAAGGAGCCGAATGTGCATGTCTGGCGCCGCGCTGGTGCTGGTGACCCTGGTGCCGGTGCTGGTGCCGGAGGTGAATACAAACTCCAGGCGATGGGCTGCACAGACTTCAGTAGTTCCATATGATGCAGTTTCTGTATGTTTCTGTGACATGAGATGATGGGAAACTGTTGTGTCTTAGATTTATGAGTCCAACAACACAGAGAATAGGGTTTGACAAAAATAATAAACAAAAACAAAACCAGAGCAAACAAAAAAAACAAACTAGAAAACCAAAACCAAGGAAAAAACAAGAAAAAAACAGAAACAAAAACACACAAAAACTGCGGAAAATGCAGGTTTTGTTTTTTTTCTTGTTTTTTTTGTTTCTTCTGGTGATTCTTCCTGTCGATTTGTTTTTTTGGTGATTCTGTTTGTGTTTTTGTTTTTTTGTTTTTTATTTTTTTTGCTAAAATCCACTTTCTCTGTTCTACACGGGGTCATAATCTTAGATGTTTTTAGTTAAACAAATCATTGACAAATGGCGTGTATTCCTATTCCGCGCTTCACCAGAGAAGATTCGAAGGCTCAGTTCTGCCATCCGAAGTTGGAAAAGGACAAGAAGGCAGGAAGCAAATCCTTAAACAGTTTTTCAGATGGAAGTGCATTTGAACCCCTTTCTGACGACCAACAAGCAACGTTGGTCTTCAAGAAAGGCAGCACGCACAGATGCAATATCCAAGCATCCATCATCTTCCAGTATAACGAAAATAGATTCTATGTAATTCTATATACACAGTTTTCTCATGTTTTCTCAACCTGTTGAGTTTCTATGACACAAGGACGCAACAGCATGATCGGTCACAGTAGATCCAAGCTTCAGTCAAGGCCTACGCTTGCCTGTGACAAGCGCAGGTTCTTCAGTGGACCATGGATGAAAACCTTTGTGCTCGGCTCACACCGGAAGGCTCTGCGAATCTTTTGGAATGCAGAAAGTGTCCAACAACAATTGTGTGCCGGGTATATACTGTAGCGTTGCAATACGCTATCATCCGACCCATTGATTTTGAGCTTCGACACAACAGGCAAAATCAACCTCCATGACGGTGCGGATTTGGCAGAAGCTCCTCTCATGGAGCTCAAAGCTTCTCAGTTAGCATAAAGTTGGCTCTGGTCACTCTGGTCACTCTGGTCACTCTGGTCACTTTACATCACTTTACCCTCAGTGGTACCGTTTTTTGGGTTTTCTAAGTTGGACACAGTTGGACAAAATGATGTATTAGTATTAATGTCTCAAGCCCAAGATAGCCCAAGTTTGTTCGCGATCTGGGGAGTCTTACATTTGGACACCCATGCCACGTTGCCTAGCTGCTCAATTTGAGTGCGTCATTTGCTACTGAAGTGTTTGTCAGTGTTTGTTCCTGCCATAATCTGCCAGATTTGGAAGTTCACAACACAGTCATTTCTTGAAGTCTTTCGAGATCTTTCGAGATGTTTCGAGTAACGCGCACATTCCGACGCACACCCGCCGCACCGGCAAGGTCAGCAACGTTGCGGGGTTTGAATTTGCACCCCTGCAGCCGAAGGCGGAAAATTGGACGTGACGGCAACAGATGTGGAAATATTAACATTTCATTCTTATGATATCTTCTTGATATCTTCCTGAAAAATCCTGAAATCATCTTTCATCCATCTTGACTTGGCAGAATGTTCTTGAGACTTCTGACCATGGATAGATTTCCTGAACCCTTGCAACAATTTCTATCATAATACCACGTTTCTGCCACAGGAGGGCTTCCATGCGCGCTTGGCGCTCTTTGTCGCAGACCAGCGGGATGATTTGCAGCGGGTGGTAGGGCCAGCAGAGGCGTCATGGAGACTGGCATCCCAACTGCATTGCATTTGATCAGAACCTGCGTGTCTTCATCCATGCTGATCATGCTGTACCAACCAATGGTGCAGCGCAGGTTTCAATTTTGGAGTTTGGAGCTGAGCTTGAGCTGTTGATGTCGCCTCAGCCACGGAACGTGGTCCTGAGGCTCTCGGCGAACATGGAAGGTCTGCAATCGAGCACCAGTGCAAAGATGAGCAACTTGGATGATGGATGTCAGAGAGTTTGGAGATGTTTGGAGTGCACGCCGACATATGACAAGCAAAGGAGCTTTCCGAATCGAAGGTGATTTATTTGTGAGAATCTGCAATGTAACAGAACAACATGCTTGTTTCATCTTGTTTCTAAGTTTGTCAGTTTTCCTGTGCTTGAAAGTCTTTCTACGAGTGAGGTGTACCCTCTGGCCAGGTGAGGAGCCGACGGAGAAAGAACTCACATTGTATACAAAACAAAAAACTATAAGATATACAATCATAGACAGGACATTATCGGACCTAAAAAGTGCTGTCAGATGCTGTTGCCTGATATCACACCAAGTCACTATGATACTAATGCCGTGTCAGATGAAACGGACACAGAAATGGAGAATCTGGACATATCTGGACAGGTGGCAGACTTGCTGTGGAATTCGACTGGCAACTGCCTGTTCTCACCTTATTGGCCATCAAGATGCAAGTGGAGACCACAGTTTTCCGTGCAGCCTCCGTGCCGCGTCCCAAGGATTGCGCATTGCCAGACGGAGGTGGACGAGACTGGGCAAAGTTATTACGGAGGTTCTCGTCTTGCCTTCATGCTGCTTGCCTTCTGCCGTAGCGGGGCAGGGTCGGCAGGGTCGGCAGGGTCACTCCGTCACCGGTGCTGTCTCCGAGTCGATGCGTTCTAAGCGTTCTAAGGTCACAGGGAGGAGAGGTAAAGAAAGATATCACAGACGAGGAGTGTCAGGGTGGCTGTGTCCAGGCCAGACCAGAATGTTCCAGCCGTGCATTGCACTTAAAAATGCTTGACATATCTTGAAATTAAAATGGATATCATTCATTTCATTCATTTCATTCATTCCATTCATTTCATGTCCAGGCCGTCTCCTGGAGCCCTACACGGGACGAGTTCATTCTCATCTCAGGATCAAACTTTCCAGATCTTTCCAGTTTTTGTCCAATTGAGTCTGTGGCAGAGTTTGATGGCCAGTTGCCATTTCCCATTCCTAGGATTTCAGCCTGCGAAAGCTACCCTCTTCTCCTGGGACGACAGGCTGGACACAACTGTCAATCGAGCAGTGATCAAAACCCCTATTGGTGGATTATTAGAGGGCTTATACTACCCAAATCTACCCAATGTTTTGAAGAATATCATAATCCGATAATCCATTGTGGGACTTCCTATTGACCAACAGCTCAATTGTCTTTGGAATTCGATGATCTTTGCTTTGGAGTCTGAAGTGTGAGTCACATCATTGAAAGGCCTTGGCCACACAATCGTTCAACATACCTGGATCTTGGGATGTTTGTTATACTTTTTTCACACTTGTCACCGCTTAGCTGGTTGGCTGCAGCAAAAGTCTCTTGAGCGATGGCGACAGGACAAAGAAGCTGGCTGTAAAGAAGATCCTGCTTGACAAGGTGGGTTTTAAGGACCCCCCCGTTCCAGATTGACATGTTTCTTCACTCCTTTGTCTGCCATATCGGGACATGCCGATGTGGTGCCGAGATGTGTCCTGCGTCGCGAGGCCCATCGGAACACCATTCGCTTCAACAGCTTTGGCTCCTTGGTCTGCCTCGCAGGCTTTGGCAACTTGGTCGTCACCTCAGAGGAGACAGGACCAGACAGGACCAGACAGGACCAGACACGCTGTCGGCACCGACCAGAGTGTTTCGTCGCAACATGTTTAACTGTTTTGTTCTGCAAAGGAGAATCCAAGAGAACTTCATAACCTTCATATCAGCTTAGGATCAACCACATGTCAACTAAGGTACTATCAATATTCAATATCTTAGTATCTGTCAGTACAGTAAGTACTGTATGTTATATATTATGATATACCATGTATTGATATTAATATGTAAGTATGTATACATATATAATGTGATATAATATCTCATCCAAAGTAAACATTCATGATGTATTTTTACAATTAATTCCTCAGGGGAGAAAGATCCTGCATCTCACTGAGGCTGGTGGTGTTGACTTTTTTGGTCTTAATCTTAGGCCCTGCGTCTTTCTGGGCAGTTGAGGCATTTGCCTTGAGGCAGTTTTTCCATGGAAAGTCACTGATCTCACAGTTAAAGTCAGTGTGCTCAGGTCGCGAAGATGACGATTACGTCCATGTTTCCAGCTGCACTGCCAACTGCACAGTCTCAGCAGAGTCCATTTCTCGGTGCATCAGTGTGTCAGTGTAGTGGATGGCCAGCGGATTTCATAGACGTCTCACAATGCATTGGTTGATTTTGATAGCTTTGTTCGCGGGCGATTCTTTGAGATTCCGGCCAAAGGTGGGCTCCCGACGGACGTCACTTTCTGACTGCTGTGCTGGCTCCCCGAATGCGAGTTTGAAACTCAGATTTCTTCAGGCACATGTAGATTCAATGTAGATAATGTAGATGTTTCAGGTTCAATGAAAGTAGAACTATATACTTGTATTGCTTCTTGACAGTTTGTGATACTCATTGAAACTGATGTTGCGTGGAAACCCTGCAGGTTGACAATGGGCTCAGCGTTTGGCACGCCCTTAGTGGTTCGAAGGTCTCCAATACTCCATTTGAGGCCTGCCTGGTTGCTTCAGAAGATGAACCATAGCAGACTGTAGATTGCATTTTAGACTTTCGTGAAACAGGTCTCTTGCCAATGCTTGAGTTGCAGAAATAAACCATTTGCCTTGCAAATCGACAAGACATTCTTGCAGTTGTGAAGCAACCCTGAATTGACCTCAAGGGGAAGAAGGGTCAACTGAGTCAACTGAGTCAACTGAGTCAACTGAGTCAACTCAAAGATCACCCTTTCTTATGGATGGGTGATGTGCCAGGAGCTTTTTGATGTGCAGCCAGCGCCTCAAGCTGTCCTCAAGACGTTTCTTGTGCATCTTTTTTTCCGATCGTTTTTGTGCACCTCTCTATTCGTACATCTGGAATGGAGTCCATGGAGGTGGCGACCGGAACCCAACAACAAACATCCAGACGTCACGCAGGAGGAAATTTCACAAGCCAGCAAGGACTGGACTTGCTTTGCAGCTGGAATCAGCACTCATTTTTTATGATTCTCACATTTCTCACCAGGAGGATGCCAAGAATGTGGTTGAGGCAGGCGCACAGAAGAAGCAGGCCGACTCTATGAACAGATATGAATAGGTTGTGTAGGTTCGGCAAGGTCGCCCAGCGATTTGCCCCCTGTGGCACTCATGCTTGGTGACAGGCTTACAGACCACCCAAAGCCCGTGGCGAGAACACCAACACAGCCAGAAACTTGGAATATCTTGGAATGGTGCTGAAGTGAGACACAGTGAGACACAGTGAGACTCCCGAGATAACATGAGAATCATGAGATAACTGCATGTAGTGACTATGTAGTGACTGCAAGTCGATGCTCCTCAATTCATTTACGGGCGTTCGCATGAGGTTGCGCAAATGATGCGTGGAGAAGTGGCAGCACCAGATGATGACACAAACTCAGTTTTGTCAACATGGGTCACTGGTTGGTGAAGGCATGTAGAAAGTGGAAATCTATGCACTTTAGACACATGGATGAGGATTCTCCAAGATGGTATACTGTAGAAAACATTAGAAAACACTACTCTTGACTGAATCCAACTCGGGTGGCCCGGATGAAGAGCACTTGCAGCATCGCACTCGCACACTTTCTGAATCTTTCAGAATGAGAATCCTCCGACCCAGGACAGACGCAATCGAAAGCCACGACGGTGCCAGCCTCTGACCAGTGCAAGTTGTATGCAAGTTGTGACGTTTGGACCTTTAACCTCTTCGGATATCTTCAGATCAAGTTCTGTTGGTTTTGATTCCTTTTCTCGAATCTTTTCTCTGAGAATCACGTCCACACACGTACACGCATTGCCATTCATGACTATTTAATACATTTTAATACTATTTATGCATCTTGCGATAGGGCAAAAGAGGACGAGGAACCTGAAGCCAAGGAGGCACGACGTTGAATCGCTCGACATCGAGCCGTGCAACACCGTGCAACACCGTGCAACACCGTGCAAGGCAGAAGTTGCCAACCGACCACCACCTCCTGAGGCGCGACACAGATCGACACAGATCGACACAGATCGACACGCGACCGTCAGGCACCGGCTCCACCTCCACCTCGACCCGCAGCGACACAGCCAGCCAAGGAGCCGGTTAAAACGATTAAAAATTAAAACGGTTAAATGTTGCATATGTTGCATATGTTGCCGTGCTTTGCTGTGGTTTTGCTCTTGAAGTCTTGGAATCTCTTCAGAATCTCATCAGAATCTCGTTGATCCTCCCGATCACGCATCTTGCAGCAGTTGATATTGATTTGAATCATTTGCTGTGATTCCGTCTTTGACATAGCTTCACCTTCATAGCTTCAGGATCGGCGGTAGGGACAAGAATTCATTGACTGAAACTGTCTTCGACAATTTTCTCTTTGGTCACTCCGTCCAAAGTCGAATCCTATCCGACAGGAGAATTTTCTTTTATACCGGTTCATTTCTCCTTTGTTTCTTTTTGTTCTCAATGTATCTCAATGTGGCCATGTCTCCCAGCAGACCTTCCAAACGTTGGTTCAGAGCTTGCGCCGTCAGCCGACAGGCGCAAGCTCAGCCACCGCAGGCACAGGAGCTGCAAGCGCAGCAAGCGCAGCAAGCGCAGCAAGCGCAGCAAGCGCAGCAGGCGCAGCAGGCGCAGCAAGCGCAAGCAAAAGCCCAGCAAGTGCAGGCACAGCAGGCACAGGCACAGCAGCAGGCAGGGCAATGCTTGGCAAATGCGTGGGAAATTGCTTTGCTTTGCACACGTAGCCAGGAAAATCAGAGGATTCAGATGATCCTGAAAGAACGGATTCAAGATTCTTGAGGGCGCATTGAGGTATTGCATGCTATTGTGTCTCTGCAACGATCCTTGATATATCTTGATACATGAGGATTCCATCGCATTCAATGCATTCCCTTTCTTCATCTTTCTTCTTTCCCGGCAGGCAGCTGCCCAGGCGCTCTGGGGGATCGAAGAATATCGAAGATGGTGAGTTTGAGGGTTGAAACATGTTGGAACTCAGTTGGTGAGTTTGCCAAACGATGGACCGCAGGCAGCTGCGGCGCAGGCTCAGGCTCAAGCCCAACAGAGAGCACAGAAGGAGGCGACAAAAATGACGGGTGAAGCGGCCGAACACATACCCTGTGAATCCCTGTGATTTTGTTTCACCTCAGTGCCTCAGAGTCTTTTAAAGCCAATGAAAGCCAGCTCTTCACAGTTGTTTTTTCATTCTTCTGATGTAAAAAGTTGACATCGCCTTGGGCAAGGCCAGGCTTTCGTTGTGTGTGGGACTGGTGACGCATGGGTGACCTCTTTTGACAGGCGCAAAAGGCAGCAGCTGACCGGCAGCGTATGATGCAGCAGCAGCAAGCAGAACAAGAAGATTTGGTTCGTAACTCAGAGGGGCTGTGCGGTACAAACTCGACGTAGAAAGTTTGAAATCGTTGGCCCTTTCGCCAAGGAGTTTGAGACTTGATGAGACTTGATGAGACTTGATGAGACTTGTAACTCCAGGATACTCCAGGGAAAACGGTTTATAACGGTTCGTAAGCTAGATTGGACACCAGTCTTGAAAAGTGTCCGTGCAAAGCTTTCTTTGAATACTGATGTTTCATCTATTAGAGTCGCCTCTTCTGGATAAAACTCCAGAGAAGAGTGTTTTGATATGTTTTGATATGTTTTGATGCAGGCTACTCGGATCTGATGTCCCCCAAGAATAAATGCTCTGAAGATCTCTGAAGCCTTCGTTTGAAGTATTTTTCAACCGATCGAAATTGCTGGCCAAAGGATTCGCTTTTATTTTCGACAAGTGAAGTCTGGATTTTCTTGGTATTTTGGACATCTTTGGCATTTGGTGTCAGAAGCGCGCGATGCTCGAAATGCGCCGTGCTGGATATGGACCGGGTCGAAGCCCGAGCTCCGCAGACCATGCAGTGACCAGCGATAACCAGCAACGCAGTGAGCTCAGCCAAGGTGATCCGAGTCAGAATCCAGCGGCAGCGATTCTCCATGCGCAGGTCTGGGACCTGTTGGAGAAGATATAAACGTAGTATACCAGTAGTATAGTATAGAATTATAGAATATTATAGATACATAATATATATATATAAGATATCATAATTTAATTATATAAGCGCAGTATATAATACATATAATTGATGCACACAAATACACATACACATTCGCATACGCACGCATACACATACACACATACACACATACACACATACACACACACATATACACACATACACACAGACATACAGACATACATACATACATACAGACAGGCAGGCAGGCATGCATGCATGCATACATTCATACATTCATACATACATATACACACATACACACACATACACACATACACACATACATTACATTACATTATATTATATTATATTATATAATATATTATATCATATTGCATTACATTACATTACATTATATTATATTAAATTATATTGCATTACATTACATTACATTAATGCATACATACATTACATTACATTACATTCCATTACATTACACTACATTACATTACATTACATTACACCATACATACCTACCTACCTACATACATACACATGTACATACGTAAGTACGTACATACATCCGTACATACGTACATACGTCCAGATGTACATACGTACATACGTACAGATGTACAGACGTACATTCGTACAGACGTACATACATACATACATACATACATACATACGTACGTACGTACGTACGTACGTACGTATTTACGTACGTACGTACGTACGTACGTACATACGTACGTGCGTACATACGTCCATACGTACATTCTATACTATACGTACATACGTACGTAGGTACATATGTACATGCGTACATACGTACATACATACAATAGTAATAATGATGTAGAATAGACTGATACTTTATGATACTAGATACTGAGATCTCACAGTTAACTTGATGTCCAAGCAAATTGTGCGCAGAGATCGTGTCAGCACTCCATGTGTCATATGCATCGCTTGCCAACATGGTAACATCCTGATAACACTGTACACCTCTTGGTTTCCACTCAAGTATAGACCCCCATAGAACAGCGGAACTTTATCCAGAACAGATTGCGAACACTTGTGATCGAACACGCCCAGAGACGTTCCAAGACACAATCATTTTTGCATATTTGGCTCAGCCTGGTGCCTTGTCAGTACTGGTCCAGATCAAGACAAACCATGTTTTGTACATTGAAAACTGTGATTCGTATCGCTTCGGATTTCGAGTTGGTTGAAGGAGCAAAGGTTTCATGGTGCCAGGCTGTTGCTGCTGGGGCAAAAACTGCAGCGATGCAGCCGTGGACTCAGCTGGTTCCAGTTTGAAAGTGTCGACGTCCGACACAGATGCGCTAGCAGCCTATAGCAGCCTATAGCAGCCTAGCTGTCTACGAGCCTGGCATAATCAGGCTGATAGGTTGACGTTCAGATTTGGAGCTGAGTGATGATTCAGATTTGGAAGCAGAGATGCACTCGAATCATTTGGCGCACAAAAAATCCCTGACTATGCGAGAATTTCAGATGCAGATCTTGCACAATTCCTGTCACAACATCCTGTTCGCCATGGATCCACGACACTCACGACACTCACGACACTCAGCATGTTTTCTTCCAGGCGAGCTCAATACCCAGGATCTGAGGCACGACTTGACATGACTTGACCGTGTTTAAAACATTTTAAAACTGTTTATGTTGGACTCTCTTGGAGCACTCTGCTGGAGCACGGAATTGTATGAATTGTGACCATTGTGACCTCGCTTTGTCACTTGTCTCTTGGCATCGCCAGGAGTCGATGCAAATTGGCAGGATGCTCTTGGAGCAGCAAGCAGCAGATCTCTCAGATTCTGAGCTGCTCGCAGATGGTGTTTCACACCGTAATGGATGTAATGGCAAATATCGTCAAACATCTGTGCTTTGTACATGTACCATCCTGGATGCCTCTTCTTGATTTCTGATATTTCTGCACATGATGCTTACAGCATCTTACAGTTCCGTTGCGGGTTTGAGGCCCAGCTCAAACAGCAGCAGCAAGCACAAGCGATGCAAGCACGAGCACAAGCTATGGCCGGCTGGGACCCTACAGGCAGAGTACCTGCGACATCCTGCGACCATTTGTAACATTTTGTGACCATCTGTGACCACTGAGAAAAAAGAGATGACTATTTAGTGACTACTCAGTGACTATTTATATGATGACCATATATGACTATTTAGTGAATTTAGTGACTACTCTTCGTTTCAGAATGTTTCATATGTTTCATGCCATCGATGATCAGAGTGCTGACAATGTCAAGGTCACCAGCAGCAAAAGGTGAATCCGATGAGTCTGCCGCCCAGTGACACTGTATCTGCTGTGCTGCCTAGGATTGTTCGTAGAGGTCCTTGAGATTTGAAGGAATCATTATTGAATCCGAAGGAATCCGAAGGAATTCAGATTTC